TTGGATTCCGGTTCGCTACTGATCGGCTCAAAATGGCAGAAAGTTAATGCTGAAGGCATCTGAAGATGAGCACAATCGAGCCGCTATCAAGTCGGTAACAAGCTGTTAGATGATAACTTTTATTTAAACAACAGTTCCATGACAGAGAAGTAATGTTGAGTTATCAGAGACAAATTAAAACAACAGGCTGCCAAACAACTGACAAAAGCACAAAAGCAGCAAAAGAGAGTCGGTGTAGCAAGTGTATTTAGCTTTACAACTCATCAATCCTACGCAATCACCCACGTACGAACCTATGTATACTGAACAGCATTGAAAGCCGACCAAGTGTATACTGCTTGTGATCTACCATAATATCTGTCACCAGCTACAACTTCGCACTAGACTCAAAAAAAGTACCACGAAAACACAAGAAAGAAGAAAGCCAACTAAACTAAAACGTGACTTCAAAACACTAAAGAAAAACCAAAATGACAGCAGACCCAATTGGAAACTGGCCACCAACAGGTTGAACAGCCGAGCACAGAAAGAGTCTCGAACCTACGGAGCCTCCAAAATGAAGTCTGCAGAATTTAAGCTCTTGATCGTACTCCATTATCGTGCTGAGACTTATGTCTGAAATGGTTTGGCCGAATTCCAATTTAGAGAATTTCCAAACCTCTAATTACTTCAAAGCAGAGTATTCTAAATCATTTTTTCAAACTTGAGTAATTTATGGTTTGTATTTTTCATCTATTAAGCTGATTTTGATGGCTCTGACTAAGTCGTTTTTAAAAGCTAGTTTAATCCAGCATTTATGCAGTTTCAATATAAAATTAATTTGTAGATGTTCTTCTGGTTGTTGTCACCTTTCCTCTCCATTTAACTTTTTTATTTTTTCAGTTTTTTCCTTGATCTCATCTTCACTCACACACCATAGTTCCTTATGAGGTAATTTACTGAGTACGCAGAATCATTCAGCTAGACTTATGTCTGGTTGTTTTGAAATTTTTTAATATTATGTCTAGTCTTGTAAAACAACACCTGTGCCTAAGTATAGCTGTATTTATTATTCGGCTGTAGAAACGGGCTGTTCTTGTACCTTTTCTGAACGTTTACTGTGACCGCAGAAGAATATTCGATGGTTGACTGATCGGTTTTTTTGGTACTGATTTAGGGTGAAATGGCGAACGTATCTCCAGATATACAATGGCAAGTAATTCGTAATAACTCTAGCTTTCTTCGTCGCCAGCGCGGAATACCAAAACAGTTTAGTGTTGAAAAATTCAATGTAATGGGAGTAAACAGTATTCGTCACAATGGACTTATTCATAAAAAAGCTATCGATGTTAGACCAGCTCCAGATAATGATGGAGTTGTAGTGACCCTGAAGAAGAAAGGTTTGTTATTCACTTGCAAGTTTCTGAAAACGGACTTGTCTTTCTTCAATTCCAGTGTTACTGCAGTTTTTTCAAAAGTAGTTTAGAAATAGGGACGTTGTGGTGCTCTAGATTTACCGAGTTCTAAATATTTTTATTTTTACAACCTCTTTTTTTATAAAGTCACGTTTTTTAGAAAGGCGACTTACTGAGCGGATTTTAATTAGTTGGAAGTGATCTCCTAATGTATTTTAGGGTGTCACTGTTTTATCGCGAAAAGGAGAGCTTGATTTCTTGTTTCAGAAATTTAATTTTATAATCTTTTTAGTTTCTTGATTTTTTTTTCACAGTTTCTAGTTTCGGGAATCTCTTTGGTTTTCAACTATAATGACCCTATAAGTGGTTTAACAGTATATATTAACTTTTTTTGTCAACGATCTACCTTCTGTTTTTCGTTTTGAAGTAGATAGCTTTTCGTTTCTTTGCTGCTTTCATGTTTTTGATTTGGACGTTATAATTTTAGGTAAATCTTCTTTGCCTGCAAAGTCAACTGTTGTTATAAAACTGAAGAAAAATAGCAGGAGGTCACTACGAAGCATCAAGCGAATTGGAAAGAATTACCGGAAATCACAGATGATGGTAGATTTTTTCTTTTTTAATAAGAATGCCTTTAGAGATTGAGGGTTTATATAATTTTTTAAGCAATTTTCGTGGCACACTAATAATGTTTTCTTTTCATTTTGCTTGGCGAGGTCATGAACATTTGAAATTATTTGATGAGAAAGATCTTCCCTTTAGGCCGCTACGCGTCGTACATCACAGATTTTACGTTCACAGAGGCCTATTAGCTTTCGTAAGGGGCGTCGTGTACGGAAGGTTGAAACCTAATTTCTTCGAATAGTAATCTTTGCCGGCGATATAAAGTTGTTGTGTTGTTTTGGGGTTTCAAGGAAGTAAATTAATGTTTGGTTGTCTTCTCGTTGTGTAATGCAGAAGTAAAACTGAAGCTTCATTAACATTTGATAAAGTTTATCTGCCACATTAAAATTCTCAATTTTTAAATGCTGTCCATTGTTATACAATTTAGGGACTGTCTTGAGCAACTTTTTATTCTAAGTACTTTAACGTTATTGATTTGAATGGCATTTAAAGAGAACTCATCAAGGTATGTTATTTAAAATCTACTTTATTGGAACATGTCGCAACATTTGATCCCCTTTCTATGCATAGTCTAGTACCGTTGCCTTTCAAATTTGATTTTGGGTCGCTTTTTATCTGTCTCAGTATTGGAAAACGGCAAAAACTATCGCTTCGCAGAAAAGATCTTCCTGAAAAATTCTCTTTCAAATAGATGGTCGAGACTTTGAAACTTTTCAAGTGACAGATGATCACATTTTTGATTAGATGATGAGCGGTGGAGTCGGTATCGAGATCCCATAAGCATGCTCCATTGATTCTGAAATTTGTTTAGCTCATTACAGTTTCTGGGGGCCTTTTTTCTTTGTTCGGCCACATTTTTTTTTCTTCAGGTTTCGACAATAAAGTAGGTTCAGAGATATCAATGTTTTGTAGGCACTTTGAATCAAATTTATTTGTCTCGAAAAATTTCGGGATGATGCAGCAGTGAATTGGGGAAAATGATTTGCTTGGGAAAGGTGGATGAGGATGAGTGTAATTGAGAGGGGTACCCTCAAATTTAAAGTTTTCTTTGAAAATTAGAGACAAATGGAACCTGGCTCCTTGACCGCGATTCTCTCCTACAACGACTTCGACGACATATTTGTATTTAGGAAGATTGAGCGCTGAAAAAGAAGTGAGTTCTTGTTAACAGGTTTTAAGGTCTGATTCAAGCTGGCCTAATTCTAGGCTTATAGTTTTGTTAGTTTTGTGTTTTATTTGTTTTCTTTTAGCGTCGTATCAGTATAAGTACTACAGATCAGAATTTGTGATAATAAATTTTTAAGAGGATAAGTCAGTTATCGGGACGATAGTTGAGAGTGTTGGTGTTGGAGTTCTTAATTTCTACCTTTAAGTCTTTCTCGTATGGCACTTCCGATATTCTCAGATAGAGTTCGTAGGTCGCAGTTTGGTGTTTGAGACTCTAACAATTGTTCATTCATAACATCTTCTAGAATTTTTTTTCCAGTCGAGATACGAAATCTAAATGCCTAGGTGTCTTACCACCATTGTTTTGGAACGGCATCGTAAGCCATACTGAGTGGATTTTGTTTTAAGATAATAAGTTTTTTAAAGCCGACAGACTGCTGTATGTCAAGGTGGTGATGGATACCTTATAAACTATAGGCGGCTAGAAGTAGAAAAGAGGTGACCAGTTAAGCTGTATTACCTTGCGCAGAATATTATGATACTTCTTAACGGACTGAAGTTTTTTATAGTATTTTTACAGGAACGGTTCGTCGTTCCTTGGCAACCTATTTAAGGGTTTTTCTTCTGCCGTAACGGTATGGGATAAAAACAGTAGTTCGTCAAAACCGTAAAAGTGTTTGCATACCTCTCATCATTTTTTGGTCTTAAAATAAAGCCATCGGGTTCCATTGGGCGAAGTTGAGTGATCCGCACTCACCTTATGCACCTCCGCGTTACGACGGTATTCCAGGCAGTTGTTCTGTGATATTTTTTTACTAAAACAAATTTTGAGAATGTATTAGTTGTTCCGTTATCTAAAAATTATACTACTAGTAACTACACGAAACTTTACTAAGCTCGATCATATAGGTATTATTCTAAGTTTTTTATTTAGCACATAGAGCAGTAAAATATTCGTTAAGAATCAGTGAAAAATATTGCGAGTACTAGATTTTCACGTCTTTTAATTTATTTTCTGAAAATTATCAAATTAAAAAGTTTTAGACATGGTTTCTTCGATATTATGATTTCAACAAAAAGAAGAGTGCAAACTAAATTGGACTTGCAGCTGCTTGGTGATAATATATTTTTTAATGCAGAGCCAGATTTTATTTGTTGATTGTTCCGGAAACCTGGTGATGAACGTCTACAAATTGTGTTTGGTAACAAACTGCTAAAGTTAGTTGTAAAGGCAGATTCAAAGACTGATGGGCGAAGTAAAGCCAGAAGTTTCATATAAATAGAAAAAGGAATCACGTGAATAATCGGGATGACTACATACCTACATGCATAGATGGATATCTTGTACGGTGTCTCCTACAGCAGAAGAGTTGTGGTACTTTAGAGATGAACGTACACAGAAGCCGTGAAATGAATGCATTCACTGAGGATAAATAAACAAACATTTCAAGTCGAAAAATCTTAAAGCCGACATTATTTAATGTTCA